TATCGTATCCGGATACAACGTTTTAGTATCAATACTTTTGACCACCCTGGTCCAGAGAGGACTCACGTTGATGGAGGGCCAGGACTGGGCGTGGTCGGTGGGCAGGTACCCCTGCTGGGCGTGGCAGCTCAGGTTCCCGGGCCTCTGCGGGATGGGGAAGGCGGAGCAGGAGGCGGGGCCCCGCATGGCTCCGCCCCCTGGGCCTCCGCCCCCGCCGGCGGGCGCCATCACGCCCAGCGTGCGCGGCGGGCTGACGGGGTGCGGGCAGGTCCACTCCTCCTCGTCCTCGGAGGACTGCGTGGGCCGGGGGGGCGGGGCCGAGGGGGGCGGGGCCTCAAAACGGAGGTGAGCCACCTCCGATAACGGGAAGGGCGTCTCCCGGGAATGCCGCATGGATCCCGGATCGGAAATGCCGCCGTCGGGCCCCTGGCCGCCGCCCGGCGCCCCGCGGTGCTGGAGCCCGTCCATATATGGGCGTGGCTTGGGCAGCGTGGAGACGGGGTCCAGGCAGAAGCGCGGCGGGCACTGATAGGCCGAGGGGTCGGCCACCTCGGAGTAGGAGCGGCGGCCCTGGAAGCTGGCCCTCAGGTGCTGGCTGGGCGGGCGGTAGGAGTAGGAGGCGGGGCCCTCCGACACGTCCAATAGCGGCGAGCGCCGGTGGGTGTCCGGCGAGAGGCGCTGGGATATGGGCGAGCGGCGCTGGGGCAAAGGGGAGTGGTGCGATGAGGGCGGCGGGGGCGGGACCGGGGAGTGGCGCTGGGAGATGGGAGAGTGGCGCTGGGACACCGGGGAGTGGCGCTGGTGGTGGATCGGAGAGTGGAGCTGAACTGCAGGGACACAGGGGAGAAAACGGGGTCAAAACGCACGCTCTGGAATCCTGTCACAACTTTTTCTGGTCTTTGGGTTCAGTTCCATCCATCCATTATAAATACTATAATATTAATATACTATAATACTGGGGTCGCGGGGGTAACTGGAGCCTATCCCAGTGGTCAACGGGCGAGAGGCAGGGTACACCCTGGACAGTCCGCCAGTCCAAAACAGGGCCACACAGAGACACACAAGGACCAACAACCACTCACACTCACATTCACTCCTAAGGGCAATTTCCCCAATCTCCAATCAGCCTAACATGCAGGTTTTTGGACGGTGGGAGGAAGCCGGAGAACCCGGAGAGAACCCACAGACACAGGAGAACATGCAGACTCCACCCAGAAAGGTCCTGGTTCCCCCGGGGACTCCAACCCAGAACCCTCTTGCTGGGAGGCGACAGTGCTAACCACCAGATTAGATTTTTCCCCCTGTTTTGTTTAATAAACTTAATCTTATTTGCCGTTTTCTGGGTCCTCCTCCTCTCTCAATTATTCGGATTTAGTTCCTTCTTCTATTTTTGCTTTTTCTAGATTTTTCACCCTGTTTTGTTTAATAAACTTTACAAAACAGAAAATTTCTTTTTTTTGGTTTGAATTTCTTATTTGGCCTTTTAACTAAATATGTAAAAATAAAAATACATTTTTAATATTAATAATTTATTACTATGGGATAAGTCAAGATTATTTTTTGTGTAGTCTTCTGCCCCCTGTTATCAGGTGTATCTGATTGTGTACAATAGGATTTTGAGCAAAGTTTTTACCATTAAATTATGCAAAAGGTGTCAGACGCAAAACATTTCAGAAACCGTTTGAATCAAATATGATACATTTGGCATTACAGGGTTAATCTTATTTGCGTTTATGTCCTCCTACTCTCTCAATTATATCCTGGAACAAATAATAACACAGTCTGACTCATAAAACTAAAGGAAAAATGTTGACTCCTTATCCATTTAGTTCCATTCGCTAGTTTTGTGTAAATTAAAAACCTTTTTTCCACATCTAGTAAAGCTTTGTGAGGCTGACCAATGAGAGCAGGGTGGACTTTTTGGAGCTGTTGTGTCTCAGGAAACACACAAAAGGCAGATTTTTACAGTTAAAAGCGCTTTTCAGAGGCTTTTCTGCCACAAAGGACCACTGGACTGCACCACAAATCTGTAGACTGAATAATCTCGGCTTTACTCACAAATTACATGAAGAAGAAACCTACAGGGACGAGCCAGAACATTAGCACCACCGCCTGATATTTAGGAGATGCTGCTTTTTTCCATTTTCTTTTTTCTAAGCGGTTCTGGAGGAGTGGGTTGTCTTCATGTTGTGGTTGATCAAATAAACTCCCTCCAACTCAGGACACGTTAAAAATTAAGCTGAAAACTGCTCTTTTCCTCTCCTCAGTTGGGTTTTACTGCTTCGTTTTGACTTTTGTCTTTGTTTCTTATCTCCTAATTACATGTGTAAATTGGATTTATTTAATTTGAATGGCTTTGCAAAGCGACTGTGCTGCACACAGGAGCTTATCTGAAAAGCACTTCACTAAAGTTAAAGATCTTCCTCAAATGTGATGATAAATAACTCCGGGCTTAGCCACATCAACCACCATCGGAGCTTTGCCTCATGCTTTAGCGCTAAACTCAAGTTCAGGCCGTTTCATCCTCCTTTTGTGCCACCACACGGCGTTTTAGCATCATCAATAGTTTCTGCCCTCCAATTTTCTGCCATAGTTGCTCCAATTTAGCTTATTGGAGCATCCTGACTGTGGATCAGAGTGATGGTGGAACGGGTTTTAGCCGAGTTTTGCCTCTAATAGCAGCACATGCTGGTGAGGGTGAGTCAGCCCAGTAGTTACCACTTCAGCTGTACTTCCCATTGCAAAGAGGAAACGTCATTTCTGGCTGTTCGGTCGAGGTGTTAAAAAAAAAAGGGGGTGGGGGGGCGCTTGCAAGCGTTCTCCGGACGAGGAGGAAACGGGTGAACCTTCCCCTCAAAGCCCATCTTCACAGGTCCTTAAAACAGTACTTCAAAAGTTAGAATAATAGCCAAGAGGGAAGCGTTTTAGTGGCTAATGGTGGGTTTTATAATAGTGAAAACAGGGAGGGGGGATGAATGGTGGCCAGGGTTTTCTGAGCTTCTGCCCCTCTCACCTGGGGAAAATGTTATTTTTAAAAAATAAAAAACGACGGGTCAGTGGTGGGTTGAAGACGTGCACTTGTGAGACGTTAGCTATGTGTCGCTCAGCACCTCCAAGTTTAACACGCCAACATCAGCTTCTCTCGCGTCTGCGTTTTAAATTTAAAGTGTGAAAACAGCAGGAACAAATCATAACCGGCCGTTTTCTCTGTGTACAAACGGCAAACGCACGCCCGCAAATCCACTTAAAGCTGGTTTACTGAAAAAAAAACATAATTTACGAACACAACATGCTCAAAAATGCATCATTTAAATGATTTCCAGGTTATCTTAAGGCACTTCTGTTGAATAATTTGAGGATGTTCCACATTTTTATTATTCATTAATTAAAAATAAAAATGTTGATGCTAGCTGAGTCATTTCAGTGTCAATAAAAATAAAGAAAAATGTAAATTTAATCTGAAAATCTGAAACAAATCTCATAAATTCATTTTTTAAAAATGTATTTAGACATAGACAGAAATAGACAACTTTACTGTGATTTTGTGTGTACGGAGTGCACACAAAACGAAATTTCATTGCATACAGCTTAAGACAAGAACAGGATTCAATAATAATTTAAGGATATGGTGCATTATTTGTTACTTGAACGATGTCTCTGCTTCCCTTCTGTTTCCTCTGCCACCTACAGGCTGAGAACAGATGATTTGATGGTGTGTTTTTTTAGCGTGCGGCGCTAACCTGGGCTAGCCTGCTCCTGCGTGGCCTTCCTCAGGATCTCGGTCTGCTTGGAGCACAGCGCCTGGAGCCGTCCCAGTTCCTCGGTTAACTCCGTGTAGGCCAGAGCCAGATTCACCCTGAAAGGGAGAGGGAAAAGGGCCAATTACGTAATTATCATAATCACTGTTATTGCCGAACACCTCGGAGCTGGCAGGCTGTTACGGTGTTACGGCTACACGCCGATATCCTTCAGATTATTGGAGTGCAAATTCGTTTTTTTTGCTTTACGATGAGACGCATTTTAATTCCCTTTAAAATGAATGAGTTCTGGAAGCTGGGGGGGGGGATAATGGAGAAGCTTGGACGCTTATATTTTTAGCTTCCATGTCAAAGCGTATAATTGAAGTGCGTAATTTCACACCCTTTTTTTTTTTTTCTTCTCTTTCTCGAGATGTATTATGAGTCTCTCAGGGGCCGTTCTGATGGAGAGACTCTATTTCGAGAGCTGAAAAGTGGGGTGGTTTTCTTCTTCTTCTTCTTCTTCTTCTGCTTTCCACCCCGTGTTTGACCACACGAGACCGAACAGAAAAACTCACCACAGAGATCCACTCTGGGACTATCGTGTCACCCAGCTACTGTAGATCGAAACCGTGTGGGGAGTTAGTCACCCGGGTTTATCTGCTGAGTGGTGGCTTATCTCAAAACGGGATCGCAATTTTTCATAAACTCCTCAGAGCTGATCTGAAATCGACTCATCCCCGAACCGATTGCGAGGCCGATAAGAGCTCCGTATCTCGGGTTTGCGACCCGGGGTTCGGCGACTTCTCCTTTTAACGGGGTGAGAAGCCCAGAACCAAAAGAGGATGTTTGTGCACGGGGCCCAGACTCTGGCAGATTAGGCCGATAAAGCCGAAAAAACCCGTTCGATGTGATGAGCTTGCGGAGAATCTGCCTGAGCTCACCCCCCTCCGCCGAGATCGTGGCGGATAAAACAAACAAAGGAAGACAAAAAAAAGCAGTTCTGCATATCCTGGAGATATTTTTCTTCTTCTTTTTTGCATGGGAAGGAATAGATTTAAACCCTCGTCAGCGTTTAACCCTTTAAAGCCCGATCCAAGAATAAAACAAAACAGAAAATCACTTTTTTTTTTAAGTCTATATTTGGCCTTTTAACAAAAATATGTAAATATACATTTTTAATATTAATGATTTATTACTATGGGATAGGTCAAGATTATTTTTTTGTGTAGTCTTCTGCCCCCTGTTATCAGGTGTATCTGATTGTGTACAATAGGATTTTGAGCAAAGTTTTTACCATAAAATTATGCAAAAGGTGTCAGACACAAAACATTTCTGAAACAATATATTTGGCATTACAGGGTTAAATGCAAACAAATGAAGGCAACAAATAAAGGCAATAAAGGCTTCCTATAATCCATTTTATTCTAACAGTTTATTCTAAAAAAAGCGATTGAATTCTGAGCCGGCTTATACATGTCGAAGGAACTCAGGAACTCACTCAGAACTCACGTCTTATGTAACCTGAACATGAGTTGAACATGGAAGAAACTAGGAAACTATGTCAAAGCTTCCGTTGGTTTAATGGCTTTTTGCCAGTGGCCCACCATGTTTTCCTACAGACTCTGACTCAAACACAGACTTAAGGGGAGGGTGGGTGAGAGGGAGGAGGAGGGGGGGGGGGGGTGCACAACATGGAGGAGGGGGTCAGGTTGGTAGCTTGGCAACTCGTCCATACGACAGAAACAGGATATCCTCAGTGGAAGCTTCGCTTTTAAAATTTCTTGCCCCGGACTGAAGGAAAATATCAATCATTTTGGGTACTTACTGGCACGGTGGGAGGGCGTAAAGAGTCCGTGCC